TCACTGGGAGCTACTGGGAGCTACTGGGAACATGGGGAAGGAGGTGAGAGAGGGCCGGGGAGGAGGGAGATGGTTGGGGCTGGCGAGAGGGAAGGAGATGGGATGGAGGGAGGAAGATGGAGGGAGATGGAGGACGGAGGGAGATGGAGGACGGAAGGAGATGGAGGATGGAGATGGAGGATGGAAGGAGATGGAGGGAGATGGAGGACAGAGGGAGATGGAGGACAGAGGCAGATGGAGGACAGAAGGAGATGGAGGGTGGAGGGAGATGGAGGGTGGAAGGAGATGGAGGGTGGAAGGAGATGGAGGGAGATGGAGGACAGAAGGAGATGGTGGACAGAGGGAGAGGGAGGATGGAGATGGAGGATGGAAGGAGATGGAGGATGGAAGGAGATGGAGGGAGATGGAGGACAGAGGGAGATGGAGGACAGAGGCAGATGGAGGGTGGAGGGAGATGGAGGACACAAGGAGATGGAGGATGGAAGGAGATGGAGGATGGAAGGAGATGGAAGGAGATGGAGGATGGAAGGAGATGGAGGATGGAAGGAGATGGAAGGAGATGGAGGATGGAAGGAGATGGAGGATGGAAGGAGATGGAAGGAGATGGAGGATGGAAGGAGATGGAGGATGGAAGGAGATGGAAGGAGATGGAGGATGGAAGGAGATGGAGGATGGAAGGAGATGGAGGATGGAAGGAGATGGAGGATGGAAGGAGATGGAGGATGGAAGGAGATGGAGGATGGAAGGAGATGGAGGATGGAAGGAGATGGAGGATGGAAGGAGATGGAGGATGGAAGGAGATGGAGGATGGAAGGAGATGGAGGATGGAAGGAGATGGAGGATGGAAGGAGATGGAGGATGGAAGGAGATGGAGGATGGAAGGAGATGGAGGATGGAAGGAGATGGAGGATGGAAGGAGATGGAGGATGGAAGGAGATGGAGGATGGAAGGAGATGGAGGATGGAAGGAGATGGAGGATGGAAGGAGATGGAGGATGGAAGGAGATGGAGGATGGAAGGAGATGGAGGATGGAAGGAGATGGAGGATGGAAGGAGATGGAGGATGGAAGGAGATGGAGGATGGAAGGAGATGGAGGATGGAAGGAGATGGAGGATGGAAGGAGATGGAGGATGGAAGGAGATGGAGGATGGAAGGAGATGGAGGATGGAAGGAGATGGAGGATGGAAGGAGATGGAGGATGGAAGGAGATGGAGGATGGAAGGAGATGGAGGATGGAAGGAGATGGAGGATGGAAGGAGATGGAGGATGGAAGGAGATGGAGGGAGATGGAGGACAGAGGGAGATGGAGGACAGAGGCAGATGGAGGACAGAAGGAGATGGAGGGTGGAAGGAGATGGAGGATGGAAGGAGATGGAAGGAGATGGAGGATGGAAGGAGATGGAAGGAGATGGAGGATGGAAGGAGATGGAAGGAGATGGAGGATGGAAGGAGATGGAAGGAGATGGAGGATGGAAGGAGATGGAAGGAGATGGAGGATGGAAGGAGATGGAAGGAGATGGAGGATGGAAGGAGATGGAAGGAGATGGAGGATGGAAGGAGATGGAGGATGGAAGGAGATGGAGGATGGAAGGAGATGGAGGATGGAAGGAGATGGAGGATGGAAGGAGATGGAGGATGGAAGGAGATGGAGGATGGAAGGAGATGGAGGATGGAAGGAGATGGAGGATGGAAGGAGATGGAGGATGGAAGGAGATGGAGGATGGAAGGAGATGGAGGATGGAAGGAGATGGAGGATGGAAGGAGATGGAGGATGGAAGGAGATGGAGGATGGAAGGAGATGGAGGATGGAAGGAGATGGAGGATGGAAGGAGATGGAGGATGGAAGGAGATGGAGGATGGAAGGAGATGGAGGATGGAAGGAGATGGAGGATGGAAGGAGATGGAGGATGGAAGGAGATGGAGGATGGAAGGAGATGGAGGATGGAAGGAGATGGAGGATGGAAGGAGATGGAGGATGGAAGGAGATGGAGGATGGAAGGAGATGGAGGATGGAAGGAGATGGAGGATGGAAGGAGATGGAGGATGGAAGGAGATGGAGGATGGAAGGAGATGGAGGATGGAAGGAGATGGAGGATGGAAGGAGATGGAGGATGGAAGGAGATGGAGGATGGAAGGAGATGGAGGATGGAAGGAGATGGAGGGAGATGGAGGACAGAGGGAGATGGAGGACAGAGGCAGATGGAGGACAGAAGGAGATGGAGGGTGGAAGGAGATGGAGGATGGAAGGAGATGGAAGGAGATGGAGGATGGAAGGAGATGGAAGGAGATGGAGGATGGAAGGAGATGGAAGGAGATGGAGGATGGAAGGAGATGGAAGGAGATGGAGGATGGAAGGAGATGGAAGGAGATGGAGGATGGAAGGAGATGGAAGGAGATGGAGGATGGAAGGAGATGGAAGGAGATGGAGGATGGAAGGAGATGGAGGATGGAAGGAGATGGAGGATGGAAGGAGATGGAGGATGGAAGGAGATGGAGGATGGAAGGAGATGGAGGATGGAAGGAGATGGAGGATGGAAGGAGATGGAGGATGGAAGGAGATGGAGGATGGAAGGAGATGGAGGATGGAAGGAGATGGAGGATGGAAGGAGATGGAGGATGGAAGGAGATGGAGGATGGAAGGAGATGGAGGATGGAAGGAGATGGAGGATGGAAGGAGATGGAGGATGGAAGGAGATGGAGGATGGAAGGAGATGGAGGATGGAAGGAGATGGAGGATGGAAGGAGATGGAGGATGGAAGGAGATGGAGGATGGAAGGAGATGGAGGATGGAAGGAGATGGAGGATGGAAGGAGATGGAGGATGGAAGGAGATGGAGGATGGAAGGAGATGGAGGATGGAAGGAGATGGAGGATGGAAGGAGATGGAGGATGGAAGGAGATGGAGGATGGAAGGAGATGGAGGATGGAAGGAGATGGAGGATGGAAGGAGATGGAGGATGGAAGGAGATGGAGGATGGAAGGAGATGGAGGATGGAAGGAGATGGAGGATGGAAGGAGATGGAGGATGGAAGGAGATGGAGGGAGATGGAGGACAGAGGAGCACCAACATCATCGCCAGCTTCAAGAACCTCGTGCCCCAGGTGGGCCGGACGCCTGGGCCCCACCGCCACCACCCCCCGGATGCCTGGGCCCCTCCCTGGGCTTGAGTGTGCCCTACCATGCCCGGATGCCTGGGTCCTCAGGGTGTTTTATGGGGCTGGGTATCCTCCCGGACACCTGGGTCCCTCCCCGGACACCTGGGTCCCTCCCCGGATGCCTGGGCCACCGCAACCAGACAACTGGGTCCTTCTGGAGGTCTGGGTCCCTCCCTGGACACCTGGGTCCCTCCTCGGACACCTGGGTCCCTCCTCGGATGCCTGGGCCCTTCCCCAGGCATCTGGGTCCCCCTGGACTTCTAGGTCCCCTCCTGGACATCTGGGTCCCCCCTGGATGCCTGAGCCCCTCCCGGATGCCTGGGTCCCCCTGGAGGTCTGGGACCCTCTCCTGGGTCCCCAGGGTGCTCTATGGGGCTGGACCCCCTCCCGGATGCCTGGGTCCCTGGGGTGCTCTGTGGAGCTGTGTCGCCTCCCGGCCACCTGGGTCCCTCACCCCGGACGCCTGGGCCCCTTCCTTGCAGCAAGCCACGGTGATCCGGGAAGGAGACAAGTTCCAGATTGACGCCAACCAGCTGGTGGTGGGCGACGTGGTGGAGATCAAGGGGGGCGACCGGGTGCCCGCCGACATCCGCATCCTCAGCGCCCAGGGCTGCAAGGTAGGGACGCCTGGGCCCCTCCCGGACGCCTGGGTCCCCTCAGGGTAGCAGTGAGGCCTTGGACACCTGGGTCCTTGCTGGGCATCTGAGACCTTCCCAGACACCTGGGACACTCCTGGATGCCTGGGACGCCTCCTTGAGGTGGGGGGGGCCCGGGTGCCTGGGTCCCTCCTGGACACCTGGGTCCCTCCCGGATGCCTGGGTCCCTCCCGGACGCCTGGGTCCCCACAGGTGGATAACTCGTCGCTGACGGGAGAGTCGGAGCCGCCGACGCGGTCGCCCGACCCGAGTGCACCCACGAGTCACCTCTGGAGACCCGCAACATCGCCTTCTTCTCCACCATGTGCCTCGAAGGTGCCCGGACACCTGGGTCCCCTCCCTGGACAGCTGGGTCCCCTCCCTGGACACCTGGGTCCTCTATTCCCCATCCCTCCCCCCCCAAAACCGGACACCTGGGTCCCTCCTGGACACCTGGGTCCCCCGCAGGTACGGCCACGGGGCTGGTGATCAACACGGGCGCCCGGACCCTCATCGGGCGCATCGCCAGCCTGGCCTCGGGCGTGGAGAACGAGAAGACGCCCATCGCCATCGAGATCGAGCACTTCGTCGACATCATCGCCGGCCTCGCCATCTTCTTCGGCGGCACCTTCTTCGTGGTGGCCATGGTCATCGGCTACCCCTTCCTCCGTGCCATGGTCTTCTTCATGGCCATCGTGGTGGCCTACGTGCCCGAGGGGCTGCTGGCCACCGTCACGGTGAAGCCTGGGGAGAGGGGGGGGCTTATGTGAACCTGGGCGACCATAGGTCTCCTGAGGTTCATGGGTGCTAGGTGATCCTGGGGGAGGCTTTAGGCATGACCCAACTCATGGGTGTTAGGTGGGCCCCGGAGGTCCCTATGGGTCCATGGACACCACACAAGGTCCAGCCCAGCCTGTGGGTGGTCTACGGACCTTGGAGGTCCCTGTGGGTCCATGGGCACCATGCAAGGTCCAACCCAGCCTGTGGGTGCTTTACGGGCCTTGGAGGTCCCTCTGGGACCAACTCAAGCCATGGATGCTAGATGGGCCCTGAATGTCCCTATGGGTTCCCCAGCACCACATGAGCTCCAGGAGGTCCCTCTGGGTCCAACCCAATGCATGGGTGCCCTCGACACCCCTATGGATCCACGGACATGTGGATCCAAGGTCCAACCCAGGCTGTGGCTGGTCTATGGGCTCTGGACATCCCCATAGGTCCAACCCAATCCATAGGTGCTAGCAGGGCCATGAACGTCCCTATGGGTCCACGAGCACCATGTGAGGTCCCTGTGGGTCCAACCCAACCCATGGGTGCTCCACGGGTCCTGGACATCCTTGTGGGTCCATGAGGGCTCTGAGGGGAGCTTCATGGGGGCTGACGAGCGCCCGGTGGCCCAGGTGTGCCTGTCGCTGACGGCGAAGCGGCTGGCGCGGAAGAACTGCGTGGTGAAGAACCTGGAGGCGGTGGAGACGCTGGGCTCCACCTCGGTCATCTGCTCCGACAAGACGGGCACCCTCACGCAGAACCGCATGACCGTGGCCCACCTCTGGTTCGACAACCAGATCCACACGGCTGACACCACCGAGGACCAGTCCGGTGAGCCGGACGCCTGGGTCCATCCCGGCCCGGACCCCTGGGTTCCTCCCCACCTGGGTGGAGAGTTGGGTCCCTTCCCCACCCACACATCTGAGTCCCCTCCCTGCCTGGATGCCTGGGCCCCTCCCAGATGCTGGGGGGAATCTCTCTCAGATGCTGGGGTCCCTTCCGGATGCCTGGGCCCCTCCCGGACACCTGGGCCCTTCCCAGACACCAAGGTCCCTCCCCAAACACCAAGGTCCCTCCCCAATGCCTAGGTTGCTCCTTGGACACCTGGGTCCCTCCTAGATGTCTAAGCCCCTCCCCGGACACCTGGATCCTCCCTCCTGGACACCAGGGTCCTTCCCGGACGCCTGGGCCCCTCCCCGGACACGTGGGCCCTCCTGGACACCTGGGTCCCATCTTGGATGCTTGGGTTCCTCCTCGGATGCCTGGGTCCCCCCACCCCACCCTGGACGCCTCGGTCCCTCCTGGCCACCTGGGTCCCATCCCAGGGTCATTCCCGGACGCCTGGGCCCCTCCCCGGACACGTGGGCCCTCCTGGACACCTGGGTCCCATCTTGGATGTTTGGGTTCCTCCTCGGATGCCTGGGTCCCCCCACCCCACCCTGGACGCCTGGGTCCCTCCTGGCCACCTGGGTCCCATCCTGGCCCCCTG